TCTCTCTCGCTCTCGCTCTCTCTCTCTCTCTCTCTCTCTCTCTCTCTCTCTCTCTCTCTCTCTCTCTCTCTCTCTCTCTCTCTCTCTCTCTCTCTCTCTCTCTCTCTCTCTCTCTCTCTCTCTATATATATATATATATATATATATATATATCTCTTTCTTACTAATAAGCGCCTTCACACACTGTGTGACTCACCGCCCAGCGGCCATGACAACCGCCTGCCACCTATTATGCACGACGAGACACCAAACGGGTTCACACCCAGGGACGCCTGAATCCAGGAAGCAAGAGCCTTGAATGAAAATGCCCTGGACACCTGCATAGCAGTAAACCATAGCCAATGATTCAGTAAAATCGATGTTTCCACGCAAATTAGAAGAACACACGCACACTGATAATCCATATAATTGATCTTGTTATGTAATGTTACTATTTGGTATAGTCGTAGAGCATATAAATTTGTGTAGTTACAAAATAAAGTATCTGAACACTACACGAGAGCATGTTTTCGCACCTACCTGCGCATATCCGGTGGCTGTGTAGAGGGTGGGCATGGTGGCGATGTCGTGGAGGGGGGTCGCGGAGTGGCCGCGGTCCACCGACCCGCCGATGAGCCAACCAAGAGATATGACTGCATCGTATGGTACCATGGCCTCATCGTGCCTGTCCGTCAAGTCTGCAACGCAAAACACAAACAAACGTGAGGGAAGCATCACTACATTCTGCACCTGTCTACTAACCGCTCTACGCGAAACACAAATGTTGGGCAACCATTGGCCTAACGTGTCGTGCATGCGTGCGTAGTTGCATGCATGTTTTCATGCATGGGTGCATCCTCATGAACGTGTGAGCGTGTACGGTAGCGTACGTGTGAGAGGGTCTGTGTTGTGCAGGCTTGTGAATTACACAGTATTCTTCATTCAGATGAAGCCCTTGACACAACAGAGTGATGCTACATTACCAAGATCGCAGACTGCACAGTAAACTCCACCGAATACATCACATGTAATAGAATCGCTATGCATCGAACAGCTTATAGCATCGCTATGGCAACGGCCTCATTCATAGCACCTGGCACCTGCTGTGGGACTCACCTGAGTTGGTTAGCAGCTCAAGCATCGAGGTAAGGTTGCTAACGACAAAGCTCAGGTGGTTCTGTTCGTCAAGAGACTGCAACACAGACACACAGAGTCAGCATTATCGCACTTTCCCCCGTTCTGCGCGATGCAATAATAGCACCAACCTTATCACGTTTGGTCTACTATAGAGTAGACCTATAGTAGACCAAGCATGATAGGTTGGGCTAGATCTTGTGATAGACATAACGACATACTGCTATCATGTTCTGTTTGTGTCATCTACCACAGTAATTGCATAGTTAGAACATGCAGCTATATGCCCCCATACAGATTACACTGTCCATCGTATCCTTTCATTCATATCAATTACTAGGTTTCACGTCAATATTCGGTTTGTCATGAAGAGCCACCGCTTGACACAATCATCACCGATCGCTATCGTACAGCACTGCGCACAGCGCCCCCTACCCGGCTCATGGCGGGCGATGCACGGCTGTCAAGGTCAGGAGAAGGTGAGCGAGATCGCACTGGCCACTCCTCTCCCGGCACCAGTGACGACCGCAAACTGATCTTGTTCAGGTGCTGGATGAAGAGCAGCAGCACAAAGTGCAGAGTGTCGACCGTAAGGATCTCCTGGGCACGACCTGCAACAGCAAAGCGTCCCCTGGTGAGCACGACCTGCAACAGTGCCCCCTGGTGAGCACAACCAACATCTGTTCTCCCATCGCAGATGTCTCGAATGGGACCGCACAGTGTATTGTCACAGATGTTTGAAAATAATAACAATATATAAAATTATATATTCAGAACATTTGGCATATTTTATAATAAATAATTTTTTTACATTGAACGTTCAAGCATACTTGACAGCATATTTTATGGTATACTTCAAAGGATATTACGTTTGCAACAATCATCACAGCAGAATGTTTTGAAATACTCGCTGTAACCTTGCCGCACTTACGCTTTTCTTCGGCTGATGTGCCTCTTGCATACAGTCTGTCGCATCGTAGAAACTGATCCCTCGATTTCTCACTCAGCAAGTCACACAGAGAGAAATACCTGCACAAACAACACAGCGTGAAAAGATGACACTCAATACCGCACCTTTCTCGCTTGGCTGGCCACTGTTTATATTAACATCCTGGACACAAACGCTGCACAGATAGGCTTGGTACTATGCAATAATGCACGTCAATTCAATAAATTAAATTCATCTAAACTTACCGTAATATTAACCAATTAAATTACCTAACTATCTTTAACTTACATCCATGCTAGTTCTTCAGACATCGACAGCTTATTGCAGGCAATGTGTTTCCATACTGAATAGCTGCAAAAACAGATCAAGCCTTTTCACTATCTATTTGACATGTCTTTACTCAGGCACACAGGTTGCGCACACTGACACATCTAAACTGGACAGTGACAAGAGCACACACTAACTGTGAACGCTGAGATACCGAGTGAACTGTAAAGTTTTACAGAGATCATAATGGGCTTTTAATCTGCTACTAGCAGTCAGTGATGCCACGTATAATATTCAACCAACCACGCAACTGGAATCACAGCCTATATATTGTTCAAATGCGCTGAGCACCTAGCAGTCTATTCTACAATTTAGATTTAGATTTTGAATGTTCTTACATGAAAATTGGTTGACAAATATTTTGTAGGGAGTGCTTGTACGAAAAACAGACCTCTCTACGGTTCACACATGTCTCTAGTTACTGCATACCTCAGTCGTGGAAAGCCCAGATTTGCTTTCGTCTTTGAGTAGGCTACAATCTTCTTGATGTTCTGCAAGTGGCAAGTGTCAAAAGCACAATAACAGAAAGTCTACAAACAAAATACTTATCAGGATATCCTTTCAGATTTTTGAGCCAACAGTAGCCCCACCGTACTGCCATGGGTTTGGTGCCACCAGCAGCAGTGGCAGAAAAACACTAGGACTGTATGTTAAAGCTAAGTCAGCAGAAGATTTAGCAAAAAAACACCCGAGGCTCTATACCGCATATCGAAACCCCGCATACGCATCCATCCTGCACTAACTCGAGTGCATAATTAAATCACTCACGGCAATACACGCTGCAAGCTATTTATTGCTGTTGGTTCGATTATCATAGTACATCATCACCGCAACTTCTGCAGCTAGCTACTGCTATGATAACGAGTGCGATAGTATTTACGCATTGTGTCAACACTCAGTTAAAGGTAACACAGTATAGGTCCCGTAGCTGTATGCAATCGATCAGTATACCCACGTGTAGGCTAAGTCTGCTATGTGGTTGCAGGTGCAGAGCTCCAAAGTTGAATGGCTCTGGCTTCACCCAGAGGACAATGTCAGAGACTTTTGATTCCGCCATCTCGTTCGAGCGAGTTGCACTGATTTCAAAGTCAATCACCACCAGGTTTGCACATAGTGATCTGGCATCTGCAATAGGCAAATATTTAAAAAAACGCATGTAATTTCATCAGGATTCATACACGTAGTGCAAGAACATTATTTCTTCATGCCTCATCCAGGACTTTCCTGAGCCTTTGGGGCTACACTGGAAGAGCTAACAAATGTGTACTTACCAGTGTAGCCCTTCAATCCCGCAAGCCAACAGCGCAACAATCGCGCAACAACAGGGACCACAGGCACTTGGGCCTTTTCAATAATAAAATGATGGTTAATAAATACTACTACTAATCAGTACTACTAGTACTACTAGACCTACCACTACCAGTACCAGTAATACTAATAGTCTTAATGTTTGATTTGACCTAATAACTTCACTTCAATACCGTCCAATACACCGCTGCAACACACATTCCTATAGCGCGCACGCCATTGTGCACAAATACACAGTAATATAGAGTAAACTATGTTAATATATAATATATAACATAGTATATAATAACACAGTAATACTACTCTATATTACTGTGTATTTGTGCACAATGGCGTGCGCGCTATAGGAATGTGTGTTGCAGCGGTGTATTGGACGGTATTGAAGTGAAGTTATTAGGTCAAAACAAACATTAAGACTATTACTGGTACTGGTAGGTCTAGTACTAGTACTAGTAGTACTGACAAGTTGTATTTATTAACCTAGTCCGCAAATGCAGACGTAAACTCCGCTTTGCTAATCTGAGGGTGCGGGTTTATTACTGGCGCAGGCCCATTACTGGGGTCTGCATCGGCTCGGACTATTAAATATTAACCATGATCATTTTATTATTGAAACGGCCCAAGTGCCTGTGAGTGTGACAGGAACGAATTATGAAACAGTGTCAGTGAGTCGTAGCGCCTGGTCAGGCTAACAGTACGTAGGACCTAACAGTGTGGTTTATGGATATAATTATAAGCGCTGACCACAATTCATTTTCGCAAATGTGTGACATGTGTAGGCCTATATGTACAAATGTGGACAGCTCTTAGATCCTTGAGCCCAATGTCAATTGACTTGTTGTGTATCTCATGAGTATGACCATAGATATAGAAGAAGAATCCAATCTTCTTCTATATCTATGCTATGTATGACTAAATTTTGGACCCTGGAAGTGGAACTAGCTGTCCCGGTATTTTGATATAAATATATTTAATTGATTTTCGAGTAGAGATACGGCTCTGCGGTCACCACCAAATTACTATACTACTCACACTGTTCTTCGGTATCCTCTAATTTAAACTATCTCACCGCGAAAATCTCTTCTTATCTTACTAGGATCCTAACATTTTTGAGCAACAACACAAATGCCGTCCATCGATACATAACCCGATGACAGCCGCCCGACAGTTTCTGCAATCGGTCACTGGTTGTATCATGCGTGCACCGGTCTCCGGTTCGCCACTTCTGCGATAGCATAATCCCGATAATCCCGATAATCCCGTCCTTTATCGTAATATCCTGGTAATATGTACTATCAGGAGTGAATTAACTTATGACTCCATATTCTATTTTGATATATATCAGAAGTAAATAATAGGGATATCAGTTAGCAGGGGCGGCGCCAGAGGGGGGCAGGGGGGGGGAAGCGTTCGCCCCCTATCATTTGCAAGAATAGGGAAAGAAGAAGAAGAAAAAGAAAACGAAAAAGAAAAGGAAAAGGAAAAAGAAAAAGAAAAAGAAAAGAAAAGAAAAAGAAGAAGAAACATCTTGCAAATGATAGGGGAGGTCATAGGGGGGTCGCCCCCAATAATTTTCTTGCAAATGATGAGGAAAGGGGTTAATATGTATCCAAGCTGTGTCTATATCAGTATTTGATGTATATTAATGAACCCTTACTGTAAATCGCGCGATATTTTTGACCAATCAGAGACGGTCTAGGCCTGAACGTGTCCACAGACTGGAATACCACTGCGATGTTCGTTACACATAGTATGCCTAAATCCTCCTAATCCCACTGGACGGACATTAAGCTGCCAAGGTTATGCTCATATATTCGATATGATGCCACCACACAAAAATGAGTGATGTAGCCTCACAAGCTGGACCACTTTCATCGGAAAAGTCGAAAAATTAGAGTGTCGAAATTCAATCCATTATAAAAAACCTCGCTGACTTATTTGATAATCGATGTCAATGTGTTATTCTGGGAGTCCTCAATGTTGGGACCATCATTTGTCGATGATGCTGTTCCCGGCGAAAAGGTTAGGCCACTTGAGGGTCTTAACAATCATACTATGATCTCATCTATCATCATATATAAAATATATTATTTATATATTATATATTACAGTTAACATAGTATGAACATTAACAGTTTTTATCTGGAAAATTGGCTTCAAAAATATCAACCAAAATCGCACCATTTCTGCTGCATTTTTTTCAAAAATTCCAACATTCCAACAGACTGCGGACGCTCTGCGCGCCGTCTCGCTCCCCCTATCAGAAATACCCTGGCGCCGCCCTGTCAGTTAAGGGATAATAGGATTTAGATAATAGTTAATTCCCTATGTCTACTTCTGATATATGTATAAATATTATGTATGCAGTGGGTAGCCAGCAATTGGAAACACGGGGCGCCAAAGGCGAGGGAGCGAAGCGACCGAGGGGGTAGGGGTGGAGGGTATCCCCCTCCCCGGTAGCAGAGATTTTGAACAATTCGTTGCATTGAAAATTGGCATTTTCTGTCCACTAAAATTCCAGTATTAGGGGTATAACTTATGATGAGAAGTGGATATAGCTAATCCGCTCTATAAACCCCACTCCCTCGCTTTTTATTTTTCACTCCAATCGATCAATCGTGGGCGATGGCCCTGGCTGTGGCGCGGAAGGCTCTGAGGCATTACACTACGACCAGTTGTGCGACCTTAGCTAGCCACAGTGAAAATGCGTGCTACGAAAAAGCCAGTGTTTTCTCAGGGATGGGAAGAAAAGAGTTAAAGCGACACAAGACAGCGATAAGCAACTTTCTCAACGGGGTGAGGTGTTTCCCTCCCACAGAGCGGTAATTTTTGAAATATGTTGCATTAAAAATGCGCATTTTTGCGCATTTCAGGGGGTTCTTAATAGCGGTATAGGTAATAGTGTACTAGACCAATCCATTAAGGGCCTTCTCTCTTACTTTTTGTACTCTCGATCAAGGAGGCGGGTCTGGCCTGCTTGTGCCCCCCCCTTAGCTTTGCGCCTTATGTCCTCATCAAGCACTGACGGAATTATGAAGTTAGTGTTTGACTTTGCTGTTGTTAGCGTACCATGCAATGGTTGCATTTATCCGTCATAAACTGTTTGCAAGTTCCTCATATAAAGTTAAAAAGTTAAATTATTTTTTGAAAAAGTAGAGGCATATTGAATGAAATCGAAATAAAGATTCTAGGGGAAAAGACAGTGTAGATGTCGTTGGTACCATGCACTGAATAAACATGCAATTATTTAAATTACAAAAGATTTAACATCGTTGTAGAAGTACAATAGCCGTTCAAAGATTCACAGTTTAACTTTGCAGTTATGATAAAAAAATGTTTTGCTTTCCTCTGTATGAGAACTTAAAAACCATATTGAAATTTGATTTCAAATAAAAACAAAGGTACTGCAAAATTGCCGCTCTATTAAAACTAAAAGCGAAATTTACCATGACAGAACTTTGTTTTTGCTCCCCTGATAAGAGAACAGTTACTTAAAAATAGTCTTTGAAATCGGATTTGAAAATAAAAACCGAGGGTGGATGCCAAAATGGCCGTCTATAAGTTCGATATATTCAAAGTTATTCACAAAGCATTTCCATTTTCTTTTTTCTGTCAATAGAGTTCAGAACCATAAAATTTCAATCAAGCAACTTGCAACAACACAAATCTGCAGCAAAGAAGAATTAATCTCCTTTCTTATCAGGTTTTGTCTGCTGCAGAAATCTCCAAATCCAAAGTCAAAGTCTTCTCGGTCGTTTGAGGATTCGATTGAACATTAATGTCATTCACTAACTCGCTGCTCACGAAAAGAGAGAATGCAGAGCAGAGAATCGTGCGGTTCATTGCATAGAACGAAGTTTAGACTTGACAATGCTCAATTTTAGAGAATGTTACGTTCAGCAGATGCAGAAGTAACAGGAATTTGTGGCCAGTCATGTGAATGACGCGGTGAGAGGCAAGTCCGAAAATTTTTTTGTTTGTCTTTGTTTGTAGTCAACAGGGGGGCGGCCATGGCCCCTTGTGCCCCCTTAGCTACGCCAGTGCATGCTCTGATTGTATAACGTTACATCTGATATAACAATCGATCGGTGCCCATGATGAAGATTGTGCGTTAACACTTGTAATAATAATCGTGTATAATTATTGTATAAAATGGACAGTGATAACATTGTATTAACAATCATGGTAACCATTGTATAAAGGACCAGTCCACCGCTGACACAAACCCTCTAGCAGGGAAAACGACTCGAGGAAGGAGTATGCAACCGTAAATCCAACCATAATCATTGCCTCCGCACCCCGTCTCTAAATCCACTCGCTGAATCCGATCCGCATCACCCAACATCCTTCTCTTCTTCCCTGTTCTCCTCTCGTTGGCCGCCGCCAACAAAAACAGCAGAACAAACAAACAACAACAACAACATATAACAACTACGATGATCGACGATAGACACATCCCGCCCCCAGTACAGACAGAACTTACATGATGATTGTCCAATAACAACTCTGCCGGTTCAGGCAATGAAGCTAAACACACTCTCTGTGGCATAAAAGCGAGGTTCCGCCACGCACAGGCGCAAAGACTTGTCGTGCACAGGTCACAGATCAGGATGCCGGTGTTGCTACGAGAGCATTGTTGTCCAGTCGTGAGCCAAGCTCCTTATGTGCACTGCAGCGCATGTTGTGTCACATACACGCGGGCCGTGTACCTGCGCACTGCTACAATTGGTGCACCGTGAGTGTATCTTGCGTTGCACAGATGACAGGCACCGCATGCCGTGGCATGTGTATGTCGCGAGCATAGTGGTACCGGGCTCGCACGTGTAGTATGTTCCGGTACGCGTGTATGTGCACGAGCCGCGTGTACGTGCGAGCATGCTGTGTACGCGCACGCATGCACGATCTTCCGGCACGCACGGCTGCCACACCCGTAAGCGCACCGTGTATGCGCACGCCGCGTGTATGCGCACGCACGCGTGTATGCGCACCGCAACGCGTGTACGCGCACCGCCATGCGTGTACGCGCACGCCATGCGTGTACGCCACGCATGCGAGTACGTGCCGCACGCGTCGATATGTGCACGCTTACGCGCTGTATGTGACGCAGGCCGTGTACGTGCACGCACGCGTGTACCTGCACGCACGCGTGTAACGTCGGTGTTGTTAGGTAGGGTTAGGAGTGAGGTATATATATTATATATACCCCTAACCCTATATATATATATACTCACCCTACCCCTACCTACACCCCTCCACCCCACCACACACCCACGTACACGCGTGGTTATAGGGTATATATAAATAAATAACGTATATATATATATATAGGCCTGTTAGATACATATATATATATATATTACTTATATAATAGGCGTTAGGTATATTATATAATTATATATATATAGGTTAGGTATATATATATATATATTATATATATATATATATCCAACCCTTATATATATATATACCCTAACCTATATATATATATATAATATATATATCATATATATATATATATCAAGAGCTATATACATAGACGTTACAACGGAAAACGGGAAAATGTGCTATTTCACGACCAAAATTATTCTACTTTGCCTGCGAGTCTATATAATTCATGGTATTGCCAGTTAAGGCAGAAATTCTTTGCTCTCTAAAACTAAGACCAACCGCTTGTCAATACGATACTCCTAAGGCGAGATATCGGCCTCTAAACCTCCCCCCAATGCCAAACGCCGCTCGAATCCACTTCTGTCCCCATCCTTCACGCGTCTAAGCATTTCGGCTAATCGCTTTCCGTCACGCTCTTGGAGCGCTGATAATGCATGTCACATGCCCAAAATTTGTACTCTTACTAGCTGCGTTGATAAGAGACGTAATTAAAAAAACATTTGCCGGTCCATCATGACGGGCATTAGCCGGCTAGGAAACGAATAATGGGAAGATAAGGCGTCATAGGGCGCGTGCTCCGAAAGTCACCTCCACCTGCACCTCGCACCGAAAATCATCATAAAATTATCGCGAAAACCGAAACTCTCACGAGCAACGCTTAGCGCGTGAGGATGGGCGACAGAAGTCGTATTTCGAAGCGGGTTTGCAATGTGAGGAGGGAGGTTTAGAGCCGATATTCCGCCTAGGAAGTATCGTATGACAA